CGTAACGGGGTGGAATGTCCGGTTTCTGTCAATACAGAATTCGTTTCCTCCCGCGATCCCGCTTTAGTCCATGTAGCGATGACTTTAGACTCCGAATATTTACGTGGCTCGATCGCCGCCGTCCACTCCGTCCTCCGCCACGCGTCTTGCCCAGAAAACATTTTCTTTCACTTCATAGCCGCCGAGTTCGACCCGGCCAGTCCTAGAGTCTTGAGCAAACTCGTCCGATCCACGTTCCCTTCACTCAACTTCAAAATCTATATCTTCCGGGAAGACACCGTAATCAACTTGATCTCTTCTTCGATACGGCAAGCCCTCGAGAACCCCCTCAACTACGCTCGAAACTATCTTGGAGACATCCTAGATCTCAGCGTTGACCGAGTCATTTATCTTGACTCAGACCTGGTCGTCGTCGACGACATTCTTAAACTCTGGAACACAACCCTGGCAAACTCACGTGTTATCGGCGCACCCGAATATTGCCATGCCAACTTCACCAAGTATTTCACGGACGGGTTTTGGTCCGACCCGGTTATTTCTCGGGTCTTCCAATCGAGAAAGCCGTGCTATTTCAACACGGGAGTTATGGTAATGGATTTGGTTCGTTGGAGAGAAGGGAATTATAGGAAAAGAATTGAGAATTGGATGGAAATACAGAGGAAACGAAGGATTTACGAGTTGGGTTCATTGCCGCCGTTTCTGCTTGTATTTGCGGGGAATGTGGAAGCGATTGACCATAGATGGAACCAACATGGGCTTGGCGGGGACAATGTTAGAGGTTCTTGTCGGTCGTTGCATCCAGGGGCGGTAAGTTTGTTGCATTGGAGTGGGAAAGGGAAGCCGTGGGTTAGACTCGATGCCAGAAAGCCTTGTCCGCTTGATCATCTTTGGGAACCGTACGATCTTTACAAGGGGAATTTAGTCAAAGATCAGTCTTCTTCTTCTACTGGTTCTTCAATATTCTTGGGGTTTTCCAGTTATTTGTTATAATTCTTTTTTTTTCTTTTACATTGCCACAAAACGATGATGATTCTTTGATAGAGTTGTGTACAGATTGATTTTTTTTTTGTTATTTCTTGGGATTTATTTTTGTGATTTACATATGGGATTATCAATACCTTTCATCAGAGGGTGTTCCGTACTTTGGAACAATTTTGGTGGGTTGATTTCTTTGTATGTAATTGAAGAACATTATTCAGAAAAAGGAATAACATTCGGCTGTTGATTGTTTCTTTCTTTCATTTTCCGTTTCTCATTTTCTTCTTCCCTTGTGTAAGTATCTGGATTGGTGTTCGGTGGCTTTACTTTTCTGCTTTTTTTATTTGCCCCTTTATCTGACCTTTAATATTGAAATGGTTGCCAGATATCAAACTATGATTGGTTTCTTTTCATCATTTCATATTTAACAACGATTCTAAGCCAAGATAACATTCAAGACTAAAGGAACAAAAAAGAAATATAAAGCTAGCTAGTGTAAGATGATACAGGCTGAGAAGATACCCGAAACAATGAAAAATTTTGTGCTTTTGTGAAATGTCGTTATACCAAGTGTTCACGGAAACTTTGTTGGGGTCCAAAAGAACTCGAACACGCACTCTTTCCTTTTGTAAGAATTTTCAACCACTCCGTGACCCACCCGAAGCTCTTCGGCATCTTTGGCTTCCAAGAAATTTAGACGTGGATGATTGAGTTTAAACCCTGTTTCCAAGTGGCTTGACGATCGTGGTTGACATGGACTGTTTTAATTCGTTTTGCTAGACGTGTCGATGGCGCACAAGGTCTAGGGAAGCCGTTGAGGAGAGCCCCCTCGACTAAGTTTCTCCACTAATCCATTATAGCCTCCACCACATTCCACCTGTGTAAAATTGGAGTCCGTGAGAAATTCGGCTTGGAACTGTTCTGCCCTTTGCCCTTTGGCGTTGACAGTTTAACAGTTTTCCAATCAGCCTAACATATGATGTGATTGACTATGTTTATGGATGAATTTCGCATTCTCAATTGCCAAATGGGCACATGCCTCACAGTTCACACTCCATATTTTCACATGGAAAGCAATAAAAAGGGCAAGGAATATAAATAAATTATTTATGTGTTGAGACATGGCTTAGGGAATTAGATCTGGAGATGATGATTGGGTTTTACCAGATTTCAACACAATAATTGCTTCTATCGAAATTTAATAATGCAGATCTTCAAGGA